CCACATCTCAAGAACATATGCAATACACAGGATATCTACAAGTGTACATGTATACGTTACAATCTTCTCCATGAACTTAGTAAATCACATCTCAGTGAAACAGTATTTAGGAAAATGAACAGACTGTCATGATGTATGTTTATAATGTAGTAAAAAACTTGACCAATTTTCTTTATGTTCTCAGTTCCTCTAACAGAGCTTGCAGAGAGAGGACTCATGAGGGTCCTTTAAAGAGAACATCTTAGCTGATTTAGAAAACAAACAGTGCCAAGAAAGGATTTACTAGGCCCCGAATACATAGATATTTTTAAATTAAGAAAAGGCATCATTTGACACAGAGAATATATGTACACATATATGCATATACATATGTACATACATACAATTTTCTCTCTCTCATAAATACAGTATGTTGTAATTTTAACTAGCTAAACCCAAAATATTTATCACTGACAGCAAGTTCTACTTCACAAAATAGTCTACTTCAGAACAGCTGGATGGGACCTGGGTTGTAATTCTAATATGCATAGTTGGTTCTGTAGAAGTTGATTACACACAAGTGACAAATATTACATTGAAGTATATGGCCCTGCCACAGGATGGGAAATATTGCTGTTTTCCTCATACAGTCACAGCAGGATTGTGACTTTGAAGTCTTTGATGCCCTAAACATGTGGCAACTCTATCTGTCAGGGAATATGTCTCTGATCAGGACACAGTCATGCAGCTCTGTACTCTGGGGTTTTTTATTCATTTGCTTGCTATGGTATCCAATTCAGTGATAGGATGGGAGCAAGAGACATGAGTTCTTAAGCTTCTGTCCCTGAGACCGTGGACTAAGCTGTGGATTCAAAACTGTCCACAATATTATTGCATTTATTCACTACTGCTTATAATTTGGGAAGTACTTCTTTCCCACTTAGTACTCTATCTATCCCTTTGATTACACAGTCATCTTTCTGGGTGTTTGGTAGTTATCATCTGTGTGACATTCCAGTTAGACATCAACACTCAGTACTGTTTAATTAAACTCATTTGGATATAAAGAAATAAGACATTTTGTAGAGCTAGGTGATCATTTAGATGCTAAATAGAATTGAACTCATTAACCTGATCTGTGTAGTTCTGTATAAATTAAAGCGCAATATGCGCCAGAAATGTGTAGCGCCCTTCTGATGGCGTGCTGTAATCCTCCTGCCCTGTTTGGACCTATTACCATTACTTTAAAAATAACTCCTTGTACAGGAGAAGCCCTTTGGGAAAGAACGTCGTGGCAGCTACGTGTATAAAGCACAGGGAGTTACCAGTTCCTTCTGTTATCTCCATTTTTCTTCTCTGAAACTCTCATGAGATATGCTGGACCTGTACAGTGTGGGTGATTTTGAGGAAGACACTGAGATCTGTTAGGATTCCTCTCCCATAAGCCTTAACAGCAAGCTGTGCCAGATCCATAAAGAACCCTGATATTTCTGAAGTGCAACTGAGATGCTGTATCCAGTCCCTCACACCCTGCTTGGCAGGCCGTTCAGCTAGCCTGAGGCTACAAGCATGCATACTCTCTGATCATACTGTACTGTACATTTTCTCCATTGAGCAAGAACGACTTGCATACTCTCCAATTCCCCCATATAAATTCTGCTGGAAAATCACGGGAAGGTGGCGTGAAGGGTTTTTTTTTATCTTTTAAACTAAATGCACTCTGAAGATATCTGTCCCATGCTCCAAAGGAAAATTAATTTGTGAGAAGGAAAACTGGCAATCTGTTTGACCTTTAGCTGTAAATCTGTTGGTAAATACAAATTTACTACACTTGGCACAAACTATTTCACTATATTAAAAATTAATATTGTACTCTGAGCCCAACTGGACTCTTACACAACACTGGCTCTTGAACCAGAACACCTGACTGAAAGCTAGTGTCATAGGAATAACTAAAACATAAATAGGCCACATTACTCAGAAGCAAACAGAAGAATGAAGCCAGCTACAGGGAAATAATCCAAGTTACAACCCTCATTTCAAGTATTTTACATAACAGAAATTTGCTTACGGTCTTCAACAAAGTATGGATTGGTGTCTGGAGTGTAGTGCTCCTCAAAGTCAACCAAAGCATCTTGTCCATATGGCCGTCGAGAGCCTGGAACAGGAATGTTGCACAGCTGGGCATAATCCTCTGAGGGGGGAAAGAAAATAGGATATAAAACTAATCACACTTGTAACACAGACTGCATTACATTAGTCCCAGTGAGCTGTGGTTCATATTAGCTGGAAATAAACTTATCTTCCTAGAAAGACCATAAATCTGCAGTTTCCACAGTACATTCTCTCTTCAAGAAGAATGTCATTAAAATGTTAATGAGCCAAACACAGACTATTAAGTCATAATAGGGATAACACCAGGGATACATTTGAGTCAATAACTGTACAAAAAGTTATGGGTCAGGACTTTCTGGCCTGCATGGGAAGCAAGAGCAGAAGGATGCTGTGTGTCCTGCTGCCAGTGCACCCCCCCACCCAGGGCTAGCTACGGTTACTGTCCTCATTCTGGTGCAACAAAGGCTACCCCAGACCACTGCGGCTGCTAGCAGAAGCCACCCCAAAGGAACCAAACCGGAGCAGTTGGGGCCATATTTCTGGCACCGTCAGCCAACCTGCAGAAATCACAGAATGACAATTCCTTCTAAAATAGCACGCACTCGTCTGTATCTCAAACTGTATCTTCAAGCCGCAGGGTTAAGTACGAGTACTGTTCACAGTCTCCTTGGCTGTGAACCTCAAAGGACAAGGGGAAATGCACAGGAGAAATAGTTACACTCTGATTTTCTGCCTCTCCCCATTAGCTAGACTACACGAAGCAGACTAAAGCAGCTCTTCATTATAGGTGTCAAAGTCCATGTCTGAAATGCTGATGCAAAGTTCGTTTTTTTATTTGATTTATTGTGTCACCTCTGTTTCCATTACTATTGACTAAGATATATACAAGACAATTTATATGAAAATAGAAATGTTGTTAAAATAGAGCAATCCAGGTGCTCCTTTACTGTTGCTACAAGCTATTCAGCATCTGTTTCTGTGAAGATTGCCCGGTGTTCTGAGAACCAGGCAGAGTAAGGACGGGAAAGAAAACCACCAAAAGAGAGAGAGGAAAAAAAGCCCTAAGCAGATACAAAATCCAAGAATTGCAGATGGTTACAGAGCCAGAAACCTCATGCTGTGTAGAACTGTCCCAGACAGCAAATAGTTGGATAAATCCAGACTGCTTCTAGACAGTGCAGAGCACAGTCCCACTTGCTGCCCAGCATTGTCATTTTATTTTCACAGGTAGTATCTCCTCCACCTGGAACAGTTTTACTTTGTACTGAAAACAACGAAGTGTTCAAAAAGTCTGAATTCTGTGGCCAACAACTTGGCTCTTTGAGAGCGTAAGACTGTACTGTAAAAGCAAAGCCTGTCTGTGCACACCCGAGCCTGCAGAATGAGCTCCCCAGAGAACTTACAAATCACTGTAAATCTCACCACCTCCTGCTTCACATGCAAGGTGATCTCCTCTGATGTGCATCCTCCGGAATATATTATTTGCAGTAATAATTATATTCAAATAACCCTCTTGTCTCCCAGATGAAAAGGTACACTGCCCAACAGAGACATCCCATGGCACATGAAACAAAGCCAGCATGGGAAAATAAACGGCATAGAGCAAACATTAGTGACATCCCTAAATGCACAGTTTCCCACTGAGATACCAGGATAACGAGCATAGTTTTAAGAGCTGTCGCAGGCCCAGAAACACCTTATCCTTTCTTCCCCACATCTGACCCCAAATAACATCTACATAAGGGGACAGCCAGGCTATCATCTCAGACCGAGTCCTTCACAGTTGGTGTTAAACAACTCATTATGCCCAAAGGCTCCGGTATGTACATGGAGAAAAGCTGTGCAGAAATGTAAAAGCACTTTCTCACAGATGTGCACAAATATTCTTGGCAAAGAAAGTCTGTGCTCTACCACAAAATAGTAATTCATTTGGGATGTGTGGGAGAAAACACCACACAGAACCAGCCAGTGAATGGTAAGACAAGGCAAGCAGATCTGAGGCATCACTGCTTCTTCCATATGGATGTAATCTGATGGAACGGACTGGACAGAATCTTGACATTGGCTTCTCAGATTACTCAATGCCAATTGTGCATTTAGTGATACCAGTAGTAGAAACAATGCTTTTCTTCTGAAGGAAACAGTCAGAACATTTGAAAATCCATACAGCTTGAGCTCCTGTGTACATGCGGAGTTGGGTTGTTTGAAGATTGTGCAAGACTATTTTATATTGCACATTTGCCAAGGAAGAATCAAGAAATGTTGACAATAGAAACTTGTTTCCTGCCACAGTGGTCTTTTGCCAGTCAAGTTTTGGATGTCTGCATTTTTAGCTCTCATTATAAGTAAATTAGTGGCTACAAAACGATGAAGAGCTGTTTTAGGACATACTGGTAACTTGCTATTTGTTACAAGGAGTTGTAACTATGTCAAGGTTATTTACAAGGCTATACATGCAACTGTAATAATCTATTAACCTCCTGAAGTATATTATGCTTAATTAACCATTTGTTAATACACTTTAATCTTTCAATAATGTATATGTTATTTGCATATAGAGCTTCAATACAAAAACTGGTAAGAGCATTTAAATAGTCTTAAGTCACTTTAAAATGTATGCACATATCCTCCCCCTATATATAATTTATATAATTGTTTTGATACATAGTGGAATTACCTATAATAATCTCTTAATACTCTATATTCTATTTAGTTGTCCAAGCAGTGTAAACTTTATCTCTTGTCTTTTGTAACGTGTTGATTCAGTTACTAGTTGCTCAGGAGATAAACCCATGGAGAGCAACAGCAACCCACCTAAGAAACCAACAGTAGAAATTCAAGACCAATAACAATGGCAAGTTATCTACAAGTTATCTACCTTGCTGAGCTTGTCTTTTGTTTTCCAGGGAAGAAAAGTGTGGGCAGAGGGGAGAGTACAAAGAGTGAAAGGTATCCAGGGGGCCACATCTGGAAAGATTGCAAGAACCAGCGTTTTGAAATGAGGTAAACTAGAGACTTAGATGCCTGAGAGAAATGAACCCATCAGAGTCCCCCTCTGGAGGACAGAACAAGTTACAGCCAGACAGATGTGTACGTACAATTTCTGTTGTTTTAAACTTTTCCCCTTGCTATGCTATGTTCCTACAGTTCAAATTAAAAATAGTATATTTTGGGTCACTGTGCCGTATGCTGGTCACAATTTTCCAAGGAAGAGAACTAAATAAATGGGGTGCTGTAAGATTTGTGGGTAAAAGCATGACTGGTGCACAAAAAGTTGCAGCAAGTATAGGAATGAGAGAACAGCATCATAATGTCCTAGGGAGATGACAGAAGATGATTTAGATCAAGAAGGCGGTAAGGGGGCAGAAACCAAAGAAAAACCTTTAACTACCCCTGAATGACAAAAACATTTTCGTTGCCACAGAAATTAATACTCACTTTTAAAATAATCTTTCATGTAAAGTAAAAAAAAATAATCATTTTTTGTAATTAACAACTATAAAACCTTTTTCTATTTGGATTCACTTTCTCTGCTCACTCATCTCCTGCCTGTGAGCGGGGACAATACAACTGCAGTTCAAGAGGAGAAAAAGACTTGTGTTTTTAATATAATTTAGTCTACATTGCTCTCCATGTGTTTCTAAGTTTTTCTCTTGATTTCAACTTGCAAATGAAGCATTGAGACAGCTTGTTGTATAACTTAGGATAGCTATTATAAAAGGAAGCTGATGTATGCTTCCAAAAATGTAAGGACGTTTTTTAAGTCAGATGTGTGCACATAAACCAAGCGTGTTGGGGGATTACAGCTAGACGCGCATGCATACTGGCACAGCTGTTCAGCCATAATTGGTGATGAAAGCTACGCTGACAGAGACAAGGCAACATAAATTGGATGGACTGACTGGCTTTTAGGTACTTGTTAGCACAAGTGCAGCTGTGCAAATGTGCATCTCATTTGCATATACAGTTGTAACTGCACAAGCCTGTGTGGGCCTTATTTGTATTCTCTAGTCAGAAAAAATACTCAATCTGTCATATTTAAAGCAAAATAATATAGATATTAAAAAAAGATTTTCCTAATATAACCATGAAACGACTGCACCACAGCCAATCCTTCCTCCTGCCCGTAAAGCAAGCTACACTTCTGGTTCCAGCTCCTCAGAATTGTCACCATCACACACACAAAAAAGGGGCCAAAGCCATCAACATCAGGGCAATTCTTTCAAATGATTTAAGAATGCAAGTTTCACCATGGAAGAAATCACTGGAGAGAAGTCAAAGCCAAGAAAGCATTTATTACTTGTAATATATGTCTCTTCTTAACCAGAGGTTCTGGACATCAGTCTGAATTGGTTAAACTTATGCTCTCTCAGAAGATTGCATCATCTGTGAACCAAAGCTGAAGATATTTCTACTCTACATTTAGATTGTGCTATTTGGCAATTTAGATCATTTGACATCCTCCATGAACAGATGCCAAGGTTTGTGGGTGGAACAGCATTCACATATATTCTACTACTCTTGTTGCTAAAGAAGGAGGAAAGGGCACCAGTCTTAAGGGATTTTTTTAACCAAGTTAAGGATATTCATATCCTCCCATGGAGATAACTCTAAATGAAATCACTAAGGAAAATCTCACAGTAGATGTAAAACTCATGTTAAAATTGAAGTAATAACCAACCTGATTATTTCAAAACCTCTTGGTAGTCACCTTTTGTTTCTCAACAAAGGCTGCTCAAATTTCCTAAAACAATCTTCTCTCTGGTGCTGCTTGAGGCAGACTATTAGAAGTTCTAGTAAGAGTCAGGTTGTTTCCCTCAGCCTTGCAAATGGCTGACTCCTTGCTGACTCGTGTGTACATTTGGGATGTGAGGTTCCATAAGAAAAACCCTTCCAAGGCTATTCTGCATGTGTCTCAAACTTCAGAAAAAACACTGAAAATCTTCATCAACAGAAATGAAGGCAGCCAAAAATCTGCAGAACTGAGCATAAGACTTTGACTATTCACTGTAATATTTGAGCCCAAAAGATAATCCATCTGTCCAGAGTCCCTACCAGAAAAAAAGGAGGCACAATGCCATCCTAGATGGAAAGATGAGCAATGGTCTCCAGAAATGAATCCAGTGCCTCCTTGCTGATCTTTACCATCTCAAAAAAAGACAGATGGAAACTCATCCTTTACACACATCGTACAGTACATCCTTGTGCTTCCAGATCTTCATGAGTGACATGAGTTCCCAGAACTCGAAGGGAACACTGTGTTCTCATATGGAAGCTCAGCCCAGAACTAACTCATAATGTTTACAAAGGATACACAGAGTTCCTTGCAACAAAAATGCCATTCAAACAATCTGTCCTCCAGAAGAGGTAGAATTCAACAACTACATGTAGGCATCTCTAAGGGTCTGTACCTGAATTAGTCACCCAGTGTCCCTTTATAATCAATGGAAAGACATAAACACTTCTAGGACACCATCTCATCCTAAAGTAGATGTCTAGAACAAGTCAGAAGAATCTTAATGCTTAGGGTGCCTATTTCTCTTTCCTGATGGAAGGTGAAACTGGTAGGACCAGCACAAATGTGCTGGTGGAAACCCACAGATGTGGGTTTCTTTTTAAAAAGCATGTAAAATTGGCCAAGAGAAATGCTACATGATTATTCATGTTTCCCACTACCCTCAGTGTTCTCCTAGTCTGGGCTTGGCAAATGCTAAGGTGGAAGTAAACTTCAGGTACAACATGAGTCCCCAGCAGTTCTTTATACAAGTCCTAGTCCCACAGAACACCTGTAACATCTGACTGGAGTTTTACCCCATTGTCCTTTCTGCAGATCTTCTAAACATTAAGTGGTTCCATAAAAACCCACAAACTACTAGAATTTAAAACTTGAAGTAAAAGACTATAAGGTATGCATAAGGTTCCACAAATAAGCAGGCTGATAAAGTAGAATGTGGTCATGACATCATCTTAGTAGTCAGACTACCAAAAAGTTCTTCATTGGAGATACAGTAATGCACCCCTATCCTCAATAGTAAAACATCTGTTAAAGCTGCAGAGACCCCATCCTGCTTTATCCCTTTTTTCCCATATTAAAACTTGTCCAGGCAGCTACCTACAGGAGAAGGAGAAAGCACCCCCTTTAACAGATAGGCACATCTTTAGTTCAAGGGCACCTAGTTCCACCTTCCTAGCATCCGAGGTGGTACTGAAGCAAAGGTGATAGTGCACTGCAATAACTAACTCCAAGACAGGTTTCCAAAAATCATTTTACAAATACAAAAATAGGCAGTCTCCCTCAATTAAACACTGACCCCAGCACACCACCTTACTCAACTTTTTCTAGCAGTTTCTTCTGTCTCCTCCCTTTAAATTTCCTGTCCCCTGTAACAATACACCTTGTCTAAAATCCACTCTGGTCCCATATAGGTCTCACAGGAGCTTCTGGAGGCTCAGCAGGTTTATAATTCAGGTGTTACATGTTAGGTTAACATGAGATGTGTATGGCCTTATTTTAGATTCCAGATTTTTTCAGTCTTGGCCAGTTGCTCTGTTTTCTGGCATGGATGCTTTGACCCAGCTGCTAAACCCATCGGTGCCTGTCCTGCTGCCAGTTACTAGAGCATGGACTCCGGATGGAGACAGTTGAGTCTTACGGCACTAACAGTAAATTGACCAAGAAAGCAGAACTTCTGAAGGCAGTTCATCTGACAGGTAAGTTTTTTTGGGGGGTAGGTGCAATGAAGAAAAAATGTTTAGCTTCTGTTACATAAAATAAAAGGGTCTAATTTTCCTCAATTGGTTGATTATTGCAGCTTGCAAATGACAAACCTCAGATAACACAGAGGTTTCTTAAGGATAATTACGAAAAGTTCTTTGGGCAAGTACAATGCAAGACCACAATGAGCCCAGAGAGAACACATTTCAGTAGTTAACATTTTGGTATTGGATGCAATCTATGAAAGCCTTTAACTGTACTATGATATCATAAGATCATAATGTTAGAACCAATGCAATTGAAAACAGTCTGTCTGTGCTTCCTTCTTTTAATGATAAGAAGGCCTGCCCCAGAAAACTGTACAAGTAAGATGTACTCAATCCCATCACTAAAATTCGTGTTTACGCTATTTTGATCAGGATTTTGAACTAGTATTTTGAGTTTGTTCCTTGATGTTATCGTCAAAATACTTATCAGCCTACTAATAAGATGTTGCTGTTTAGTTGCGGTACTTCAACAGGTGCTACTTATTTTTGTCTCAGGCTTTGATGTTTAGTGTCATTTTCAGTGGGGTTGGCTTGATGAAATGCCCATTAGATTTTAGAAATCTTAGCAACTACATAAATTCTGTTTTCATGCTGATTAAAGGCTGGATTTCCTTTTTCATTTATAGATCCAATTCTTAAAGAAGTTCTTTATCTTCCTGCTGGTTTTATGCTGAATGCTACTTAAACAGGACATTTAAATCTTGTCATGAAAAATGGGAGTGCTTTCAAGAAAAGCTGGGACACAAAGGTTAGAGGTTATTTTTATTAAAGCGTGAATTTGTTTTAGCAAGAACTTGCAAATGTATCACATATGGTGGTAGGCCTGTATTTCCTTATTTCTAAGTGCAGCACCTAGATTCTCAAATACAAGGGGAGTATAAAAACAAGGTAAAAAGAGACCACAGATGACCGAATAATCAGTTCTATGATCCAACCCATGTCATGGTGAAAGTCTTCCGGTGATAACACTTTTCACATTCCCAGGTTTTCCTTAACATGTGTTACAAATCTTTAAGAATGCCCCTAACTTGGGAAATAAGCAAACACCTTCAGTAGTAAATCTGGCCGACACAATACACAAGTATTTAAAAATGGAGAAATTCCAGGTTCCCCAGCCAGGACTTGAACCTGTGACCTGCTGGCCCAGAGGTGTGAAAGCACTCTTTTGAGCCAATGATATCACTTTAAATGTTACAAACTGAAGACATGTCAAATGAATCATTTATTCGGTTCAGTCAGCTTTAAATTTTTCTTGGTAAATGTTCCCGAAAATAGAGAAAGGCTTCCAGGTTTCTCTATGTGTGTTTGTACATGTCTGCAAGGACACATGAGCACATACCACCTCCACTAAGAAATGTAAGCTTGTACGTTTGTTCTGACATAATATAGATTCTATATGCTTTTTTTTAACCATCTATATGCCAATTTAATTATGATGATTTAAAGTCTTTGGGATCAAAGTATGCCTTGTTGTTTCAGTTAAAGCAGGTACTTTTCAATGCATATTAAATTTCACATAAAAATTATCTATATCTGGAGGAAGGAAGATGTTATGATCCAATATAACGCTCTTCAGCTTTGACTGAGGTTCATCTAAGTCACATTCAGCATCATACTATCCATCAGGAACCTTTATGTAATTTTTTAAATGAATTTCTCAAGTTTCTTCATAAAGCTAGTTGGGATCTGCACTCTGCTGTTGTCACAGGATTGCTGCTCCAAAATCCTAGTGATACTAGTGGTACTAGTGATCAAAATCCATCTAATTTCAAGCATAAATATGTTCAGACGGAACTTGTTCCTATTTTTTCCTCACATCAGCATTGTTATGTAATTTAAGTTTGTGGGAATCCACCATGATCATGCTGTAGCAGAGAGTCTTACCATTCGCAGCCTTTGTTCTGCTTCTAGGTTTGACTTTTTTCATCTTCCCTTGTAAGGCAGGTTCTCTATTCCCTGACCACCTTGGTAGTCCCTCTCTGATCCTTTTCAGATGTATCCTGCTTTAAACATAACTAGCTAGAAATCTTCAGAAGCAAGTCTCATACCTACCTGAACTCTATCTACAAGGAACAGCTTTCCTTCCTTCTCTCAGGGTTGCCTGCTTGCACGACACAGATGGGTCACTGTCACCACGTGATGAACTTTGTATAAATTAAAAAGCCATTATTCTGCACTATCTTTCCACCTGAGGAGCTCCAGGTCATAGCAGCAATTCTTGCTCTTGCCCTGTATTTTTTTTTTTACTACTGCATTTCATTCCATTACAACTGTTATTCTATCAGGTGTAGTAATTCAATGCCTGGGAATGTGCTCCTATAAGAATTGTTCCGACAAAGACATTTCAGATTTCCATATCTTATAAATCAAGCGGCTGTCTCTCATGCCCTGTTTTTCTTCCTCAGTCTCTTTCTGGGGTAAGTGTAAGCCAGCAGTTATTACAGCCAACATCATCAAAATCAGGTGCTTTTTTTTCAGTTACTGTACTTCCAAAGCAAACTCAAACAAGTAAAGATACATAAGAACAGGTTCAGGGGCCTTGCAAGTAAATTATAAAAAGATAAAACCCAAGCAGACACAAACAACCATACTAATGCTTCAATGAGATTCTCGATGTAGTTTTAACTCTAGGGTTCTTGCTACAAGTAAAACATGTACTGCTTTAGCCACAACATTATGGTTAGAGTAACACAAGCCCAAGTAAAAATCCAGCTATGATCAGAATAAAATGTATTACCACATGTAAAACTGTATTACCAAAAAGACACATTTATAGTAAGAAAGTTACATCCAAACTAGGCCTTGGAATAGTTTCCATGGGGGACGAAGTTAGTATGATACCAGACTGTCTATAGCAGGGCTGACATCTCAGACACAGCATGCCCTATACCTGTGCTGCTTTCACTTCTCTCTTTTCCAGTTCCTAGTCCCCAGAAGTCCGTGTGTCAGTGACAACATTTCTCTCTATATCCATTTACCTTTTGTAGTCACCACAAGAAGCAGCTTCTACTCAAAATATCTGGGAACAATGTCTAATTTCCAAACTTGTAAACAAAATACAGTCTTTCAAAAATACGACTCTCAGTCGGCTTTCTTTAAAATTAAATTATCATTCCCTGAAAATTCTTCAAAAAACTCATTTCCCTTATCTATCTTAAATTGCTCATATATACATTTAATATCCGAGTATACAGACATATAATAACAACTCATTGTTTGATAGTGATTCTAAATTATAACTTCCCAAATCCTTATCAAGCAAATACATCTAATTGCGGGCAGTCTGATAGAACAGTACTCTGAAAAGCGCATCTGAACGTATAACACCAGCAACAAAAATCCATAACAGGTATGTAGCCTGTTGAGTATTGCACGTGTGTGTGCACATGAACTGCACCTGTATTTTCACAGATAGTTTTTAATTTGTCAGTCAAGGAACTCCACTACCCTTAAAATGCCCTCCTTTTTCCACCAAGATTCTAAATTGCCAGTCACTGATAGTTCCACCTGAAGGAAATGGGTCCTTAAATGCCAAAAAATAAAAGCAGCTACATTTTCATAATCCAGACTCTAATGATTTCCCCTTAATGAGAAAAATTTCCATTAGTTCTTGAAGGGTTAGGTTGTTTTGTTCTTTCTTATTTTAGGAGCCCTGGTATAAATACAAGGGATTAAGCTGATTGAGTATTTCAGGTTTCATTCCAAGAAGTGACACGTATGTTTCCTTACCTGAGTCTTTCATGGGACACAGCGCGCACTGCATGCCCCAGGCTTCACCGTACAGGCAACAGCACTCGGTGTATGTGGTCTGCTTTCCAACCAGAGGTCGACTACAAACAAAATCATCACTTAGATGCTGCCAGCAAAGATCCTGGTAGACCTCAGTTTCTTCAGTTTGTTCTGATGGAGAAGACAGTATTAGATCATCATTGCAGCACTGTTATTTAAAAAAAGATACTCACATAATTCCAAATTTTCTAAATTTCAATTAGAAAAATAACCTAGCTTTACAGATTTTGCTTAATACAATTTTAAGCTTAGAAGTCATGACCATTTTTAAGTGCCTGAGGTGGCTCATCCCTTGAGTGTTCAGCTCTGCAAAAATCTTAAAAGGTTCTGATTTGGCACTATTAGGCCAATTTAAAAGCACATTGGGTTGGACACTCAAGAAATAAAACTTCCTAAATCAGAAGTCACTGCTGAATGCTTAACACTGATTCAACTCTGCTCGCATGGAAGTTAACAGAGCTTGACAAAAAACAGTGTAAGGACAGAGGCGAATATTTGGGGAACTCAATCCATGGAATCAATCTTTGAAAGTTGTTATTTTGCTTTTCTTATATTGCCATCAATGGCATCAATTGCCATCTGAAAGAACTTTTACAGCTAGGGCAGAGCTGAACAAAAATTGTACATGGGCTCAACGGGAGACTGAACAAATACTTGGAAGAGAGTCCCATTAACTAACAGACAAACTAGATCAGGCTCAGGAAATCCCCTGAGCTGAAAATAGCTGGAAGCTGAGAGAGTGCTGGGGAGGGTGAGGAGAAGTATTGTTTATCTGCTCTTCTGGTCCCTAGTAATCCACTTACAGCTATTGTTAGAGACAGAATACTGCTGTGAACTACTGTCACATTCTTATGAACATTAACAAAAACATGTATTTTTGTTAAAGCTGGAATATTTCAGAGGCGTACTAGTTCTGACAAAGATCTCAGTAGGAAAAATTCCTAGTCCTAGCAATCTCTGATCACTGCTGATTGGAGGGAGAGGAGCTGTAAAACTTAATCTTTCACTTGGAATGTAAAAACCTTGGCACAATTGTTTCGTAAAGACATCAGCAAGGTTTTGATTTTGTTCCAACATAGAGTGAAAAGTAAGTGTTGTCACAAACCAAGGTTTTGCTTTGTCTGTGCGTATCTATTAACTGCATTTTTACTTGATGCACTGGTGCATGGGTGAGTATAGAATTGACACCTAGCTCAAGAGTAAACTGGTGAGTTCTGAAAGTGCAAAGGTGATCAGAATTTAGATCCCTATTCTACTAAGAACCTGCCAGAACACGCAGTGAAGAGCAGCAGAGGGTCTCTGCAACCAATTCCAAATTTTGCTGGCAGCAAAGGAACCCGCCTGCCGCCTCCTCCTCTGCGTTAGGGAGGACATTACCAGTAGCGATACAAGGCTTGAGCACTTTGTGCTGGGTGAGAGGATTATTGCTGTATCAGCCCCAATGTTGCATGACGGAAGACCCTGTGGGCCCGTGCATTCTCTTCGTATCCTAGATGAACCCAAAGGAAAATCCTGCTCTTGGTTTGTTTAACTGAAGATTGAACAATAGAAGTGCTGTGGTTCTTTCACAGTTTCAGGCAAGAGGATGACCACATTACTTCTCCAAAGTATCAGTCAGAACTTGGAGTGACTAAAGCAGGCTGTATTCCCATTTCTTTTCACAGAAGCATCTTAGGAACATTCAGTGAAGTTGCAGGGATCAAAGGTCTGGATTTATGGCTAGACAGTGCCAATGTTAATCAAACCCATTGTAACATTTCTTTCAAAGCTGTGTGTGGCATAGACAAAGCTGTTCAGACTGCATAATGCTCTGGATTTCTGAGACGTTTCTAAGAATCTTATCTAACATTTTTTTCTGAAATCGTGTCTACTGAAATGAAAAGAACATGCAAAAACCTTACTTTAACAGCATTGCTGGAACCCACAGCTTGAAAATGTAAGCTCAATGACCCTCAATATTAATAAATTGAAAGCACAGATACAATTTCACCTATTTTTCTCCTCTATCATGTTATTCCTTGCTTTTGTTAGCAGCAGTCAGTCACTCCGAACTGAATCTTCAGAGCTAGCCCACAGCCAGACTCCAGCCTTAGTGAGACAGCGAGCAGGCTGTGTGTGTCTCATTACCTACGAGGCTGGACGAGGCAGATGCAGTGCTGGTACGTTGGCAGGGGGCTTGAAGAGTCCCCCAGCCCAAGCCTAGTCTCATTAATACTTCCAGCAACCTCCTGTCTGCATTGGCAAAGTGGAGCCCTGTGGAGTCCTACATCACGATGCCTTCTGGAGCAACAGATGATGGTCCAGGCATTGCCTTCCAAAATCCTCCAAAAGAGTAGGCTCATCCAAGCATGACCCAGTCTAAGCTTACTGGGGTCTGTAGCCATGTCAGCACTACCTCGTAGAGGTGTAGTCACTTCAGTAATATGTATAATGGATCATACCACTTGAATCTGCTGGTCTGATGCATCGCTTTTCTGTTGCGTCCAGAACCATTGGGTGTGTACAGAAACAGTTGTAAGATCCTTCTGTGTTAATGCACTGGCCATCAATACAGCTGTTTGGGTCCTGACATTCATCCGTGTCTTTAAAATGGAAGGAAATGTATCAAGGAGAGCCAGCACAAAGTAGTTGCATTGTGTTAATCCATGTTTATATTTTCCTATATTAGGAGCGGATTTCCCTGCATGCCTTCTGTTAATTACCACAAATACCAATTGCTGGCAGCAAAGTCCTGCCTGTGCCCATGGAGAAGGACAGACGGATCAGCAGGATGCTGACCTCTAATCCTCAAGTACTAGAGAGGATCTGGATGAGGAGCCTGCTGGGAGGGCTGGAGTGCCAGACATGCCCTGCATCCAGCAGAGCTGCAGCTGCTTCCCATGTTCCTATCCCTTTAGGAAAGTACCAGCGGGCATTAGAGGTGGGCATACTCTCTGAGACTCTTCATGAGCTGGTTAGGAGAAGGGATCACCTTATTTAGCCACAGTAGTTCTATTCCTTAGTTTGTCTTGGAGAGGAAAAGCAGAAATCTAGCTCAAAGGGAAGAGCAGGCCATTTTACTCCAAATGAATTACACTAAAACAGCAAAACCCCCACCCTTTTTAAAGAACCACCATCAAATCCCAAGGTGAAAGGCTCTCTTACTGCAGTTGCAAAAATTACTTCCTTTCATTATGCTATTCTGCACATTATACATGGTTTTTTGCTTACAAAGCAAAAGCCAGTGTCAGTTATGAGTAATTTTCAGTTGAATACCAGAACCAAAGGAGTACAGGGTTGTGCAGACTAAAATTGGCTTATCAATGACCTGAACTGTAATTTCACATTGTGTGTTAACTCCTTGTGGAAAATACCTGTCCTTGAAAAAAAAAATAAATCTGCGTTAATTTGATTTATTATAGTAAAACCAGCACACTTACCAAATGAAAGGTGAGCTTCAATATGCGGGCTTTCACTGCTCACCCCACATACAAAGGACAGAAGGCTAAACTGTGCCTTGGCAGAGAGAAGCAGCAGCGTGTGTACAAGGGAGCCACCTCCCACCACTTAGTGCTCCCTGCGTAAGGGCTGGCAGCAGCTCTAGGCTGTGCACTCAAAGGAGCACAAGGGGCTGTTTTGGAGATGCAAACTCCTGGGAGCAATCGGCTGAAAAAGGAAGCAAATAAAGCAAATCCTGCTCTACATGCCATCACCGTGTCAGCCAGAATTGCTGCCCAGCCAAGCAGAAGGGAAGGGAAATGACCCAATGCCTCTTAAAAAGCTGCTACAGGAGTTCGAAGACCCAGAGTTCCTCCCCTTGCTGGGAACACCGCAGTTCTGATGGGAATCCTGTCGTACGACTCCGCTTGTTTTGCCCATCTGCATACCATTATAGTGACAAGACCACTTTAAATAAACTTACCAAAGCACTGGAGCTTAACAGGGTCATAGTATGTGCCTTGTTTGCAGTAGCACTCGTAACCAGGCTGCGTATTCAAACAGAAACCATTTTTACAGATTTCTTGTCCAAAGAGTTGGCATTCATCAGCATCTGGGGAGAAAACATTAAAGGCTGTGTTACCATAATTATTATGAGGCCACGCAGAGGAGCAAGACAGAATAAAGTCTATACACTTCTCTGTTCAACCAAACTTCTCTTTAAACAGAGGGCCCCATGAGCACAGATACCCACAGGGGAAAAAGATGTGCCACAGGCTACAGTGTGCTCATAGCCAGAATGGGAAAGAGAAAACTAGTGGACCATGACTTTCCCTTTCCCTCGTCAGGGTAAGTCCTGTAGCACACAGAGACTGGAACAATCTGCAGCTCCCTTTTCTTTCCTTTGGTACCACATTGCTCTTAGGTCCAAGCAAAGAAGTGAAGAATGCGGCCTGTATTATCCAACACAATTTGCTTTACCCAAGGGATTCCCACCACGGATCTAATTAATCACACCACCTAATTGCAAAACTAAGCAGTTATGTTTATGGATGGACTTTGTGACTGCTCTCCTCTCTCCACACAGTTCGGTGACTCTGCTGTGAAGGCAGGGAATCTTCATATCTGCACTGTTTGTGACTTCGTTTTTCAAAGCTGTGTGTACAACTTCTGTGGAGACTTCCCACCAGGTAGGAACAATCATGTCTGTTGCTAAAGATAAGGCTGCAACTACTACAGACCTAGTGACTGCAGACAAAGAGAATCTGCCACACTTTCAAATGAGGCGAATGGTTTTCAGGAAGGTTTCATGGAAAATCTGTGCCAGCTCATACATAGCTTTTCAGAGTTGTACACATTTTTTCCCAGTCCTGTATTTTCATTTTTGTTACTGTTGGAATTCCATTCACTTCCTTTTTTCCAACCTACTTTTCATTTGCTAGACCTACCTAGAATAGTCTGTTAAAGACAGGCTGGTATTGAAAATGGCAGTAGAAAGCATCGTGTGAAGTAGGTGATTCTCCTCTCAATACCAATTGTCTTAATCCACTGTCTTCTATCGATTTACTCCCCATTTACTCTGGGGCAACACACATTTTAGCCTAAAGCTGTCATTTCCAACTGCACAGCAGTTTTAAAGGTGAATTATTCAAATGCTTACTTTTTCCAGAAGAGCTGAAAGTTCTATAAAGCTATTTATTTTTACAGCCACTCTCCCAGGCACTAAATTGCTTCAAAAATTTTAGGTTTGACTGTTTAGCAGCAAGAAAAACACAAAGATTCATAAGAAATGTCATGTCCATGTCTGCTTTTTTCCTGTGGAACATGGATTTGTGTCTGGGGAAAAACGGGAAAGCCTGGGAGTAAAGTCAAGGAAGGCAAGCTGAATATATTTACTTCTGACAGATTAGTCCAATAAAGAAAATAGAGTTGCTCCTACAAGCAGAAGCTTGTGGACAAAAACAACAGGGACACATGAGCTAGCATAACACAGAAAGATCACATTACTAGAAGTACTTATCCATTTATCGTTTTTACTTTGTGCTATTCCTAAAATTATTATAAAATAAACTTATTGAAAACAGAAAAAGAGTTATTATGGCAAGGATTTGTGGAAGATATTTCCAGATGAATTATTTCCACACTTTGATGTTTTCGGCAACTAGAGATATTATCAACCCTGAGGTAGCACAACAAAAACTGCAGATTTTCTCTGAGACACATTTGGACGTACTGTAAACACAGCATGTCCCAAATCTACATTGCAAAGATATACAGAAATCTTAGATCTGCAAAGATAAACAACATACTTAAACAATCCCTGAACAAAAATACTCTCAGAGAGTATTAGGTCCCTTAAGATGAGCTCTGTGCCAGTGTTCTGACTTGTCTTGATGTAAATTGTTTGTCTTCCCAACACTGGTCCCTGCTACCATCAGTCTCAGGTCTGGATTCATCCCATGGAACTTTGTTCTTTACTCCAAGTTGGTGGACAAAGCAACACCTCCAGAAAGTGGAGGTGTTACATGAGTTACCCCATTTAAACGCCCACATTAATTTGAATGAATCTGGGTAGTAAAGCTTTATAACCTTTAGGTTTTTTTCCATGTCCCATGTACTTTCCAGGTGCAAAGAAACACCTCCTGAGGGTAGCACAAAAACACATTAGCGGGACACAGAACTGAACTCAACGACGGTCTACTCACTAACTTGACAGGAAAACTGACCTAGTAATGTCCTACTCGGTGGGGAATGATAGTTTGAAAGAGCACACATAACGATCATTGTGAAAAAAATCCAAAAATATTTCAAGTCCCACCAATTTTTGTCATCTCTCAGAGTTAGGTCTGACATTATTAATTTAGCTAGAATCAACTAACAAATGCTTATCTACCAACCATGTGATACTGTGCCTCTAGTAAGATCTTTACAAAATAGTAAATTTTACTGTATTTTTATGTGATAGGAACACACATGGTGCTTTCTACATTTGGTTCTTCATTTGTGAAACAAGAATTCCAGTAAGAAAAAAAATTGATAAAATGTGTGCTTTTCTAAAGAGCCCGTAGCTGCTACGTAACCCAAAGATAATACGTTGACTTCATTTTAAGTAACACAAATGCAGTGTATTTATGCCAAGGAAAATTAATCTCACAAATTATTAAAATTGATGACTACTTCTCAAACTTGAAAAGGAATTTTGCTGATCTCACTTTTCCTTCTCAGTGATGCCAACTCCCTCCCACCCACACTCACAAACTCCTTCTGTCACTCATATTTCTCTACAACCTCGTTCAATAATTACCTTCATGAAGTTCTGTAATGAAAATATAATTTCTGAACTTCTCTTCAGTTTTTATATTCATTCTCACTCGTAGATCTGATGTTTAATGGAACTCTTCTTCTCTCTCCCAACTCCCCATACATTTATTTAGAAATTTAAGGTGGCTTTGTATTTCATGTGTAAATGAGGATTTGAGGTTTGTGGTCTCAGCGCCTACTCTCCCAGTATATGGCACTCACTATAAATTAAACCAGACTGTTACAGAGACTGTATAAATGACATTCTTAACAATCTGTCAAATGATGATTTTCAGTAATGTTTCATATCACAAACTGTTTTTGTCACCTAATAAAATTTGAATTAGTATGTTTACATTGCTGGCTCACGTTTCTAGTCAATCAACTACCAGAATTTCTGAAATAATTAAACTTAATACAAGTCAGTACTGACCTTTGTAATTCTGAGCAAGAAGCCCGTAAGGTGATTCTCCAGAGGGAATGAAACCTTTTCCTTCAGGACACAAATCAGTAAATTCAGCTAGGAGAGAGAAAAAACAAAAAATTATGTCGTTAAGAAAAAGTTACTGCCATACGTATGTGTTACAGATGTGTTTCAGGGTATTTTGCAAAATCTGAGGTGATGTTTTGCCTTACTCACATCTGTCAGGCAACCACGCACAGCTCTGGCTAAATGGGGGATGCAAACACTACAGCCCAACTTTCCCCTGCTCTCCGTTTGCAGAGCTAACTTTAAAAGAAAACTAGCTGGGGTACCCACAGCATCACAGAGCTCCTTGGCAGGAGAACGTAGTCCTTACTGGGTTTCATGGTGCACTGCAGTTATAACAATACCAGTAGCCAAATTATCTTAATTAAAGCTAGCATGGGCCTCTCTGAGCTATACTGCAAGCTGCAATCTAGACATACCCCAACTGAGATACAAGCCCTTGTCCACATTCTTCAGTCCTTATACAGGAAAAACACTAATTGACTGCAACAGGAGAACATGGTGTGGATTACAGAGGGAAATTATTTAAAGTGTCTTGGAGACTATACAGAATCAAATAAACCTATCCAAGCAGAGAGGCTCTTTTTGTAATGCATTTCACTTCAGTTTCACTGATTCTGAAATATAGTTAAAACAGGAATTAAACATGATGATACATTTGTATGAAAAGTAATCTTTAGTGTTTAATCTCAAAAAGTTTACACATGTTCTCTCTTACATGATTTTTTCCAGTTGGATTCTGAATTTCAGCCATCACTGTTTATGTTTCAAGTACTGTTCTCAATATTTGTGACAAATATCATATGGCTATGTTTTTCTAATTTAATATTTAGAGGTTAAACAATGGTCTGCAGACAACATGATTAACTGAATCGTTCAGTAAGTAGCAAAATGTAGAACTAATGTCATAATATGTATCAGTAATTCATAGTGCTGTAAGAACAACATTACAGAGAATAGCTGCAGACTCAAAACCACTGTAATGCTTACCTTTGTTTTCCAGCTTGTGGGAACAATCTAACATCTTACCATAGCATCTGGGAAAAGCTGCTGTGAGAATCCATCTTTGTTTAAAATCAGTTGAAGATAATGCTGTTCAGTAACAGGCTGCTTTTATCCCTACAGTAACTGCAGTGCAGCCAATGGATTTGCACCAGGTATGAATTACTCCTATTAACTTTTCCTCCATGGAACTCTCCCATGGATAAGCTGTGACTAAATACTACAGAACATGGGATATAAAGCACACTGCTGTTAACATAAGCACAGCGCTTCAAAAGCTTGCAAAGGGACAGAAGGCCTCCTCTTACCAGTTCCAAAGACAGGGCATGGGAATATTTCACAGTTGTCACCCCAGCCAGCACCCAAGGTGCAGCAGCATTCTTGTTTGGTTACATTGGACGTAAGCACATTGTCACAGAAATTAGCATCGTTCAGATTGTAGTAGCACTCCTTCTTTCCATCCTCATGTTGATCAGCCTCTACTGGTAATTCTAAAGGAGAAAAGAAAACATAAATCATCTAAGATGACATGTGAAATGGATCAGGAGAATCAGAAGAGCCACTGTACCTCAATTTCACCCCAGTGAAGAGGAGCACCATCAGGCAGGAAAGAAAATGACGAAGCACAAATTTTAGGTTAGCTCCTTTGTTTGCAGAAAGAATGATGGAAGTTTATAACTTTGACTTTTTCAGACCTGTTCTCCAACTTGGCCACAAAGGGATTCTTCACATTTGTACTTCTCTCATTTTTAAGCAATGCTGTCGTGCTCAGCTGTTTCACTCCCACGCCCAACTACGGACATACTGCTTTTCACCCATCAATCTGGAAGCTCTTCACAGAGGTGAGAAAACATCTCAACTTCCTTTTACTGATAAAGAAAACTAAGGCATAACAGAAAAGGCCCGATTTTCAAAAGAATGAACATTTCCAGCCTCTTCTGGTTTCACTGGGAAAAAAGCATGTTCCACACTTGAAAACAAGGCCCTTTATGATTTTTGCAAAAGTAACTGACTGACTCCATAGTAAGCAGAGGAATATAATGCTGATGTCAAGCTAACTGACTCTGTACTTCAATTTAAAATAGGCTTTACTTTGAAATAGGCATCCAGCCAAGAAGTCGGATTTTCTGCCTTTAGCAGTTGAGTGGGTCCTCTCACAATATTTATGAGGACTGGAGGCAAAACGGTCTCTCCCATAGATCCAATAAAAAACCCTATTAATAGTTGAAGACCTTTCTAAAGCAAGGCACTCCTAAAGTACACCAAGAAGTGAGTTTGAAAAGAAATACCTAGTTAAAGCTCCTGTGTTTGCAGAAGTCTGTCCATCTAACCTTGCACTTCCACAAAAATTCTCATCAAGAGCTCAGAAGTGGGAATTATTACATAAAATTGTTATTCACACTTGATCAATACGAAAAACTTTTCACAGGCCATCCATAAGGTAACCAAGTTCTAAAATTAAAAATGCTCCTATTTATTAATCAAAATCAAAACTTTATTCAGAAACTTAAAATAGTTAAATTTTAAGCGGACTATTTATTCCTTTTCATCTTGGGAAATTCTTTATGCTTAGCACCTAACAAATTTAATTCACCAAAATATTTTAATTCACAAAAACCTACTAAAAACTATTGCATGTTGGCTGATTTTCCATTGTTTGAGATTACATTCGTTTCTACTCGGACCCTTGCACAATATGCCAAGCATGAAACTTTTCTCAAGTAACAGGCGTATCCAGGCGGGAATCAAAGCCTTACTTCATACCTGAGGGACAGCGCGTCACAACAGGCTAGAAGATCAGGAAGCCCCAAAGAGCTGTGGGGTATGAACTACCTTTGTTTGCCTTGCAATTCTTTTCAAAAAAATGCTTGAGGCTGGCCCACTTACAGCTATTGGTGGACCTGTGAGAGCCAAGTTCACTTGATCATCTGTCTGCTTCTCATTCTGGTGTCTCTTGGAGGTCAAGCTCAGCCTCTATTCGTTATGGGATGGATTTTCTTCCAGTCCCATCCACTTAAAATATAATGGCTGTGAGGTGGGAGCTTAAAGAAAGTGATTGTCCAATGAATGCTGAAGGAATGAAATAACTCCAGCTCTTGTTACCCTTCAAGCCTGTTATCCCTGCCCACCCACATTCCCCCAAGCAGATGGGGCAAGGCAACTTTACTGAGCGTGCAAATACTAGATCCATTTTGAGAAAAGCAGGTTTAAAAATGCCAGTATGGATTGCCTCTTATTGCACTTTACTAGTATGAACGTGCGCAATAGTTCTTTTGGCTTCTCATTTCAAATAGACAATTGGATTTATTTCTCTTTTCCCCAGAAAAGTGACTATTTGTGTTTTGGGAGGTTGAGGGGCTGGCAGGCACCTCCATTCCAATTTAGTACAATGTTGCCACCTACAAGGCAAACTTTCCTTTGCTGTTTGGCCAATAGAAAGGCAACACCCAGCTGAGCGCTTATTTCATCTTTGTTAGTTTAGCCTGTGGTTTCCCCTCATCAGATAATTACAATTTTCCATAATGTGCTGAATTTCATAAAGTGCGGTGGTTTTGTGGTATCAGCTGCTATCCAGTAGGAGCTACGTTAAGACTATCATGTGTCACAGAAATGCAACTGAACTAAATCTGTTACTCCAAGGTAAGAGAGCAGTACTTCAGTCACCAAATTACACATTTTCCTTGGCCATTTGCCACCTGTCTAACAGAATCAAGGCCAAATCTTCAACAGGAAAAAAAGCATGGCAGTTTTCATGCTGTTTACCAGAGAAAGAACACCAGAAGCTGCCCTGGGAGGAAGGGGAGACAATCTCATCATGTCATTGTTTATTCCCATTTTACATATGATGTGTTGGTCTCTCCTCCCACTATCTGTTCAGCAGTTTAAAAGTCTGTTGTTTACACAGCTGTGAGTGAGGGTTAGTCAAGCAGGCGTCACCAATGTTTGGAAAGCAAATGAGACACAAATCTTTTTTCTTTTTCTTCTTTTTTTTTCAACCAAGACCAGTCTGTGTCTACAAGCTTGCAATTTCTCTCTCATATATTCTTAACTATTCAGTAAACAAGTTGGTTTTGAAAGTGTTTCCCCTAGGTGTCTTGACAAAATATGACAGAAAATAGATACTCTTTTTTCGCATCGTTGTTTCAGGTTTTTTGTTGTTACAAAATGTAAAATACCTTTCTACCTAAAGCACTCTGGTAAAGCAACGTAATTTTATCAGGTTGTCAATAGGACTGTTGTGTTAACAGTCTGTAAGAGATTCTGCATAGTTGTTGTTAGATTGAACTCTGAAGTATTTATTAGAAATAGATTTATACACCATAGGGTAACCTTGATCCAACAATATGCTTCAACATGTCTTTGATGCAAAAATGTGCTTTTGTGTTACAGGATTCAGTGGATAATCACGATATTAGCATGTGCTTAGACTTCAGCATTTACCTAAATGGCCTGGCTAAATCTACCAATTATTTACCTAAATGGCCTGGTAACATCTGAGATCTGAAAAAAACCCCAACATATAGAGGTGCTGAGAACGGAAATACTGCAGCTCCGTATCGCTGCCTGTTATTCACAGGTGGAATCAGGAAGGTGGTTGCTGAACTGAAAAATCATCACTACAAGTTCATGACTTCTAAATCTCAGCAAAGACCCTGCTGACTGTGAGTGAACAGCTTGAGTAACACACTTTCAGAACCTGATTTTCAAGAAGACAGTAACAATAGAGTGGTATGTGCCTGTCGTCAAGGTGTACTTGTTTAGATTCCTCAATTGGCTCCACATGTGGCAAGCACCTAATGTGTGTGTGTGTGTGTGTGTGTGCAGTGTATACACATATATGTGTGTATGTACAATTTGGGGATTAGTGCAAGATGACTGAAATTCAGACTGCTATTTGCCTTAGAAAAACACATGCCTATTGCCATTACAAAATAATACAAATATGAAGACTTTCCTTTAAAGTCTTAATGTTTAGAAAACCCTTAAAGTTTAGGAAATTTAGAATTTGTTCTCTGGCTTAAAATCTCTAGCCTTGAGAAAGCTTTGGTATCAGATTTATAAACTGTCACTTGGCAGTCTCAATTTTTTTGTGATAATGGTTAGTTATATTGGGAGGGGATGTGATTTTATTTTTATACAAATCAGTCCAGCAGGGACTTAACGTTTCATAGAATCATACAATGGTTTGGGTTGGAAGGGACCTTTAAAGGTCATCTAGTCCTGATGACTGATTTTTTTACTTGTAAATCCTAGTAAATATTGTTAAATACCTTGCCATAAATAACCAATCATATTTAATGTAACCAGGAGAAAGCAATGTCTAAATTAGTTGTAGGTACCTAAGTGGGCCCTGGTAATTTAGTGGAGTTCTCTTACTGGGATTTTGCCCCTGCCCATGGCAGGGGGGTTGGAACTTGATGATCTTTAAGGTCCTTTCCAACTCTAACCATTCTATGATTCTAATTCTTTTTATTGGCTGAGCTGTAACTCAAACTTCTGATTGCACTGACCTTCGTATATGTAAGCCAGATTCCTGCTGATATGTTTATGGTTACCCACACACTTTGGTTTGCAATTGTCATTTTAAAACTTACCTATTATAATCCTAAAATATATGCTGTCCTTTATAGCTTCTGGATTCAATGCAATGAGATATATTAGTAATAGATAAGTATTTATTAGCAATTTATATGCATCCTAGAACATGCGTTTTTCTTATGCAGAAACAAAATCATGTTAATAAGGATTACTCAAACTGCATTCAGCTTGGTACTTGATAGAAATTAATCATAAATGGCTTCAATATGGCATAAATAACAAGATGTATAATCTTGTTTAAAGAGTAAAGGAGAAGACTAACCCAAACTAGGCATTTTTTTCTCTCTTAGGTACAAAGTTGTATAACAGCAAAGTTTCATCTAATACAAAAGAGAGTTCTTTCCTCCTTTATCTTTTCTTCCTTCTGAAGTGTTTGCTACGTTTTGTGAATGACAGGGCAGAGAGGAGGGGAATAAGACAATCAAACCTTAAATAATTACTTTTTTGGGGTGGAGTCTCCTTCTCTGGAGATACTCAAAACCCACCTGGATGCGTTCCTGTCCAGCTTGCTCCAGGTGACCCTGCTTTGGCAGGAGGCTGGACTAGATCATCTCTGAAGGTCACTTCCAGCCCCTACCATTATGTGATTTTCCCCTGTAAGCAGGAATGCAGGCAGTACCACTGGGCATTGCTCTGCTGCCTCAGCCATCTTACTTTTTTTCATTCCTCCTTTATAAAACAAGCTCCTGTAAGCCTGAATCTTTCTCACAAGATTTTGCAAAGGTTTCAGTTTGCCAGTCAGCTGTTAATGACATTTCACAGGCAACTTCTTGAGTGCTTCTGAGTGCTACATTCAGTGATCTAAATACTTGTTGCAATTAGGTCACAGATATTTCAACCTTGTTTACAAGTCTGAAAGACCATGAGTGATAGGAGAAAATAGCCACAGCCTTGTAAGCTGTAGTGTCTGCATCCTGGCAGTAGAGCCAATTATTCTAAAGCTTTACAGAAGCTACATCAGCCTGTGCTGTAAGAACAAATACGCAAAATATCAAGGTTTGCATTCTGGAGGGGGAAAAAAGCTGTGCGAGTAAATGCCTTCATTTCTTGCACTCTGTTGCTCCTTTTTGTGGGCTTTTTCCTTTCTCCAAACTGGATCAGTGTAGAAATCTGCAGGTAACTTTAAGAGTTCTGAGCTAATTTTTAATGAGCATATTTCCAGTAGTATTTGCAACACCCCAAACAACTGATAACAAAAGCTCACAAATGCAGTACAATGGACTACTAGGAAAAACAGGACAAAAGATGGAGTAAAACAGGCAAGGGCACTCAAAAAGGCTCTCAAAGAGAATGGCAACAATTCAGTTTTGGTTTTTTTGCTTTCCCAACTACCTTTTTGAGGACTTACGTTAGTACTAGATAATGTTAAGAGGATACCATTATATACAAATTTTGTTTTTAATCATATGCTCCTTTAAACATTGTCCAAGCATACTAATGGATGGTTGGAAAAATTTGAACAAAAATTGAAATGACTCAGATGACAGACTTGATTCCCTGTCACACTTCATTGCTACAGTACTGCAAACAAGAGATTGTTTACTCTTAACTGCTGTAACTGTTCATTATTACTGCCAAGGCTGTTGACTTATAAAATTTAGAAGGTGTTTCTGCTGTATTTCACTGGTAGTGATTCACTGCTAACAAATTCCATCCTAGAAATACATCTTCTCTTGCACACGCTTTAAGACGACAAAGTTTTAAATTTTTCTGTTATAGTTAAAGCAAGACCAGCATTTAAACCAATTTTACCTTTCCATTAGTTACATATGCAGTGGAAATCAGGCCAAGCATGCAAAAACTCACTGACGTTTTACCTGGTGAGGTACGGAAGCGACACTGTCCGGTCATTGGATCATACTCCTGGTTTTCATCAGAGCACAGGCACAGGAAAGAACCATCGACGTTTTCACAGAGGGCTTCGCCACATACTCCACTCAGCATTTCACATTCATTCACATCTAGGGAAAAAAGCCAAAATATAAATCATTTCAGACCCATTACCGACAGTTTGTTCGTTTATCTTCTGTATCTGTGCCAGTATTGTCTGCTGGATTACAGATGTGATCTCTGGGGAAGGATTAAAAACATACTGATACTTAAGTGGATTCATAAACAAGTAGTCAGTCCTTTGAAATAAAGGCCTCTGAAAGCCACAGTGTAGTTTCTAGAGCATTGGTGCTGATTAGGTGCTGCTGGTAGACCAGAACACCAGCTTTCATTTTTTTCCAGTTTTTTGGGGGGGGTTCTTTCTCATTTTTAAATACTTGCTTTTCTTTGTACACTTTTCTTGGGTTTTAAGTTTCAGACTAATTTAATTTATTTTCTTAAACACTTATTGCAATCAAACTCGTTCTTTTTATTATCAAACTTCCACTGAATTCAAAGAGCAAAATGAATAGATTGGTATGATTCAGACTGCACTATGAAAAGAGAATTCCCTTTTTTCCTCAAAATCCCATTTTCCTTATGAGCATCCACCGAACAGTGAATTCTCCAGCCCCACTGCCACCACGTGTCTTTATTATGCACAGCCTCACAGGCTGCTCTGGAACCCACACGGGTTGTGCTCAGGTCACCCAGGCAGCCCCTGCTGAACAGTGCAGATTCCCTCTCTCTCAAAAACCCCACGTATTTTTAAACTTGGTTTCCATACACCTGCTAATGGTCTACCGTGAAGTGCTTTTTTGTTTGGTGAGAGAGTTGTCTGCTGTTTAAACAACGCTTACCAAATATTGTCAGAATCATTTAATGTTACTCTCTTTTCAGTTGCTGAAGTTTACACTTGAAAGTCTACTTTGTCTACTAATGACAGAATCTTAAAATTCTAAATTGTGTATCACAATTCAGAAATTTCTATAATTGAGTGTGGTCTAAAGTATAACTTGTGAGGCATCGTTTTATCCTTTTGCTTCTTTCCAGCAAAAACAAAAATCTAGTCATGTGACTGAACACTGATTTTTGTGTATTTTTTAATTAAAATACATTTTAACTTATGGTTTGCTTAGCACTTAAAATGTACTTGGATTTTTCTTGATCTTTTTCCTGGATTCCTGTCATAAGGAGTAAGTCTTCTTTGGGGAATGTTGCCTGGTGAGGAACTAGAAACTTACCTTCTAGGAAGAATTGTTTTGGTAGATAACTAGCATCAAAATTTATAGGAGTATTTTATATTATATAGTGTATACAAGAAAAAAAAAAGCCATTATTTTCTGGTGGAGAATCACTTCACTGGCAACTCAAATTTAGTTTCACACCAGCTTTTGCTCCCCGCCCCCCTCCTTTCTTTGCTTCATTTGTTTTCATCTGTGAAAAGTCACTGTATGCAAAAATATACACTGGCAACTGGTATGTTGCAAACCAAGTGCCAAATGGCATACAGAATTTTGTAATAAAACTACTTAATATATTAGAAAACACATACAAACACTTCTATAAAACTTCTAAGTCCTCCTTTCTGTTTGGGATTTCATTTAGGTCTCTGTTCCTGGTAAATGTGTTTCATCCTGAGTCTGGCTTGAAGAAGTTGCTTAATGAATACTTTTCCTTGATCTGGTATTAATTTTATATTAGAAACTTGTGCTGCCTCAGATGGTTCTCAGGTCCAACCATCACTATTAACAACAGATCTGAAACTCACAAGAGAAATGTGCAGTATTTACACATTTACAGAAATTTCACATCTCTTCATGGTGATAGGTGTCTTTCCTGAGCTCAAAGCCAATGTTAAGATGTGTTTGAATGGGATGTGCCCAGGGAGGTGTGCCATCGGATTCAGACTGGTGCTACCACATGCCAGACGTTATTTCCTGAAGGGGGTGGTACAGAGTTCTGGTTATTTAGCTAAGAGACTAAACAGATGTGGCATTTAAATAGGCTAACATATTAAATTTGATCTATTATGATTTATATTTGTGAATGGTCCTGATGTGCAGAAGTAGTGGGTTTTCTTGGCTTTTTAAAAAGAGATAAAATGAGTGGCTCATATTTGCTGTTGGCTTCCACTCCATCCCAATAACAGGTTCTCATTAAATGGATATATAGTTAAGCTTCCATCTGGCACAAAGTTCAGTGAGTGAAGCACAGCTCAGCCTTATTTTGCTAGTAAGTTGTATAACTTTAAAAAAAAGATGGAAAACAAAAATATTTTTGTGAAGAAATGCATTTAGTTTATATGCTGCTTTCTCCTCACTAGAATCTTGCAGGAATGACTTCTTAATGTCTAAGAACTCACCTGTACACCCTTGCCCATCCTGTGAGTCCTGATACCCTTGGTAACAGAGGCAGCGGTAGGAGCCATCCATATTTTCACAGAAGCCATGACTGCCACAGACTGTGCCATTCTCACATTCATCAACATCTGCAAGGAAGAATTTCAACGTCAGACAGGCCCCGTGACAGTCAAAGGCAGACATTCATGAAGAGCGCAGGGAAACCACGGAC